TTTCGAGACCCATTTCGATAATCCGAACCGTTCACATTTTAGAATACATAAAGTAGAACATACTTGCAAAAAATTAAGTTAATCGGATATCGTTTACTCTTTCATCCACTCACATTTGTATTCATTTTAACACTTTAAATCACAATTATTATTTATTTTTGTAAATACAAATATGAGTGGATGAATGGGTAAACGATATCCGATTAACTTGATTGTTTGGAGGTATGTTCTAATTGATTTATTCTAAAATGTGAACGGTTTGGATTATCGAAATGGACCCTCCAAAATGGGCCTATCTAGCTCCACAACAGTGGTTGTTGTGCACCCCGCACAGCAGTCACTCCAAATTCCAAATAACTTACCAACAGGATTGAAACTTCCTTAACTGGAAATTATCATTTGTTCTAGAGTTAAAAATATGAGGTTGGCTCAATTTCTAGAGTTTAACCACATTTAGATTTAGGCTTAATGTGCATAACCCGACTAGCGTACGACCAAGGAACAAAAAAGATGTGTTTGCAGAATTTTCAAATCAATTTTTGAAATAAAAAATTTTTAAAAATTTGTTTGGTTCACAATTTTTTTAAATTTGTTTTTAAAATTATTTTCTCTCTCATTTCTCCTTCTCTCACATCCTACACATCAATCAATCACTTCATCTCTCCTTCTCTCACATATATCAATCAATCAAAGGAAAATTACACCAAAGGTCCTTATAGTTTTCCCAAGTTTCATTTTGGTCCCTACTATTTCAATTTGAACATATTTGCCCTTCAAGTTTTGTTTTTGTGTCAAATAAAGACAAATATGAATGGGAATTAAGTTTTTGGATGGAAAATAGTCACATGCATTGCACATGACCATCTTTTAGGGGCAAAAAAGAAAATATATATTAGCCTATTGAGTTCATATATTCACTTTGAGTCACTTACTAAGTTGACTGACTCACCTTGCTTACCTACCAATTCCATATCACCAGATTCATCACTTTGCATGGCAACACACAACCAGTACGCGTTCCTCCTTCCATTTCCTTCACTCGTAACTTCACTTTGCCCTCTCTTTCTTTCTTTCTTAGATCAAATTATCATCCATCGATTCATTTTCATCTTGCTCAAACCACCTTTTCTATCCTCACTATGTAGACCATTCCACAACCCCTCTCTGCACATATCAATCACCCTACCCACCTCCTTGCTCAAACCACCCGTTTTGAAGTCAACATATTACGCTGAAATTGGTCATTGTTGATGAGATGGGAATTTGGTTTGTAATCAATTGAGGTTATGAGATTGATTTGTATATGTGTGTGTATATATATATATGTATATGAAACAAAAAGGGAAAGATTCTAATAGCTCTCTTGTTATTTTCACTGAGACCCTGCCATCAACCACCAAAATCCAATTGTTAAAGCTCTTATAAACTATTTCTACATCTAATTGTGTAAAACACATCATTCCAACCCACAAATTCAATTCAATGTATGTATGTGTGTGTGTGTGAATATATATGAAACAAAAGTAAAATAATTGCACAAAACCCATCAATCCTCCACCCCCACAAATTCAATATACATATACGTGTGCGCGCGCGCGCGAGTTGTGTATATATGAGACAAGCAAAAGAATTGAGCACATGGGTAGAATCCATTTCAATTTTTATATATTTGTGTATGTGTATATATATGCGTGTGTCTGATGTGTATATAAAAATTTCACTACAAGTTATTTAGTGGATTCAATGGTCTACTTTACTTCATTGAAGAGGCAGATTTCGATGTGAGGATTTAAAGTTGGATTTACGGTGGTGAGGGTCGCAGGGTAGAGAGAGTTTGATGGTGATGCTCTGATGGCGGTTCAAGGGTGGTAGAGTGGCGCGATTGTTTGCTAGTTTAAGGTTAAGGAGGAGGTGTTTTAGTGGTGGTTGGTGGCTATGCATAGGGTGGTAATGTTCGGAGGTGGTGGTTGGGGGAAGAAAGAAAGAAGATGAATTATAGAGGGAAGGATAAAAAGAAAAATACTATTTTGCCCTTAAAAGATGGTCATGTGCCATTCTCCATCAAAAAACTTAAATCTCATTTACAATTGTCCTTATTTGACACAAAAACAAAATTTAGAGGGCAAATGTATTCAAATTAAAATATCAAGGACCAAAAATGAAACTACACATCTATTCAACTACAAAAAAATAAATTAATAAATTACAAATAATTCCAAACTACAAAACTCTAAATTTATAAAAACTATATTCAAAATATATAACTAAACAGGTTTTTAAATTTTATCAACTCTTTTCAAAAAATTATCTTTCAAAATTAATTCTCAAAACTAAACCAAAGGCAGCAAAATGCCTTTCCATGTCAAAAGTCAAGAATGAAGGCTCTCCCACCTACTCCTTTGTGTATAAATAGAGACGGGAGGGAGAGGATATAGATATCAGAAATTGGAGAGTGAGAGCTGTGAGTTGAGTGAGTTTCATCTCCTCCTCTGTATTTGTATTTTGCTTCATTTTAGTGAAAACTTCTCTTTTCTGTCCGTGGATGTAGGCATTGGGCCGAACCACGTAAATATTGTGTTCTCTGTGTGTGTGAGATAATTTTCTGGGTGTCTTTGATCCTAACATGACCATCTTTTAGGGGCAAAAAAGAAAATATATATTAGCCTATTGACTTCATATATTCACTTTGAGTCACTTACTAAGTTGACTGACTCACCTTGCTTACCTACCAATTCCATATCACCAAATTCATCACTTCGCATGGCAACACACAACCAGTACGCGTTCCTCCTTCCATTTCCTTCACTCGTAACTTCACTTTCCCCTCTCTTTCTTTCTTGCTTAGATCAAATTATCATCCATCGATTCATTTTCATCTTGCTCAAACCACCTTTTCTATCCTCCCTATGTAGACCATTCCACAACCCGTCTCTGCACATATCAATCACCCTACCCACCTCCTTGCTCAAACCACCAGTTTTGAAGTCAACATATTACGCTGAAATTGGTCATTGTCGCTGAGATGGGAATTTGGTTTGTAATCAATTGAGGTTATGACATTGATTTGTATATGGGTGTGTATATATATATATGTATATGAAACAAAAAGGGAAAGATTCTAATAGCTCTCTTGTTATTTTCACTGAGACCCTACCATCAACCACCAAAATCCAATTGTTAAAGCTCTTATAAACTATTTCTACATCTAATTGTGTAAAACACATCATTCCAACCCACAAATTCAATTCAATTTACATGTGTGTGTGTGTGTGAATATATATGAAACAAAAGTAAAATAATTACACAAAACCCATCAATCCTCCACCCCACAAATTCAATATACATATACGTGTGTGTGAGCGCGTGCGTGTGAGTTGTGTGTATATATGAGACAAGCAAAAGAATTGAGCACATGGGTAGAATCCACTTCAATTTGTATATATTTGTGTATGTGTATATATATGCGTGTGTCTGATGTGTATATAAAAATTTCACTACAAGTTATTGCAGTGGATTCAATGGTCTACTTCATTGAAGAGGCAGATTTCAATGGGAGGATTTAAAGTTGGATTTAGGGTGGTGAGGGTCGCAGGGTAGAGAGAGTTTGATGGTGATGCTCTGATGGTGGTTCAAGGGTGGTAGAGTGGCGCGGTTGTTTGCTAGTTTAAGGTTAAGGAGGAGGTGTTTTAGTGGTGGTTGGTGGCTATGCATAGTGGTGGTTGGTGGAAGAAAGAAAGAAGATGAATTATAGAGAGGGAAGGATAAAAAGAAAAATACTATTTTGCCTTTAAAAGATGGTCATGTGCAATGCACATAACCATTCTCCATCAAAAAACTTAAATCTAATTTACAATTGTCCTTATTTGACACAAAAACAAAATTTAGAGGGCAAATGTATTCAAATTAAAATATCAAGGACCAAAAATGAAACTACACATCTATTCAACTACAAAAAAATAAATTAATAAATTACAAATCATTCCAAACTACAAAACTCTAAATTTATAAAAACTATTTTCAAAATATATAACTAAACAAGTTTTTAAATTTTATCAACTCTTTTCAAAAAATTATCTTTCAAAATTAATTCTCAAAACTAAACCAAAGGCAGCGAAATTCCTTTCCATTGAAACTCTTCAGAATGTTTTGGCTTTCTAGGAAATCAAAACGAAATATTAATGAAATACTAAAAGTCTAATATTTTCATCAGATTATAGTGTTTTGGTGAAACGAAAATGCCTTGTAGCTCGGAAAGGGATGGGCTCTAATGGACCGAATTGGTGTTTACCGGACAACCAGGTGAAACACTTGTCTACCGCGGTTGTCATCTTATCGACCGTGACTGTCAGCCTTCTTACCAGACAATCGGCCGAACGATGAGCAAAATGAATTTCGAACTATTCAAGCCAAGCTCAAATTCGAGCTACGCAGCAGTGTTGTTGGTGAAAATACTAAAACATTGTATTTTTCTGCACCTATTAGGGATATCAAACAATGGTCATTTCTATTTGTCTCTTTTTGTTAAAAGAAATATTTGAAAAGAACAATCTTAAATTTATTTAAAATTTTGAGGAACTAGAAAAGAGACGAGAAAAGATTGAGAGGAGAAAATTAAACAAGCATAATTGACTATTCTCTTTTTTTGTTACTGTAAAATACTTTTTTTATTTATTTATAAAGACTGGAAATGGAGTCTTTATCCCCTTTGTTCATCCATACTACTAGTACAATTTTTTATTTTGGTTAATGTTTTTTCTTAAAATAGTGAACTCTTTGCCTAACAAGGCCCTTTGTGTATAAGCTTCTAATTATAGAGAAAATGTTTAATTGTTTAATTATTGAGAATATGTTAACATTTACAAAGGTTTTAATTTTATTTCAAACATTTTTATACATTTCCAAATTCTCGTCATTTCTTGTACGTTTCCAAAACATTTTCGTTTCCAAGGTAATCGAAACAGAATACCAAATCGAAATTTTGATCCTTACTACAACAAATCTAATTACCAAAAGACCTAATATTGATCATTATATAGTGACACTACATAATGCAACAACTAAAATGTGTTACATATGTGCCTTGAAACTTTAACACACTTCCCAACAACACTCTTCAACCGGAACATACAGTCAAAGGCAGAAACCAGATCATGCTAACGGAGAGAAAAGATTGATACTAACCGTTGGAGTTTAAAGCCCCGAAAATTGTGCTTGATCAATACATGTATAGATAAGACATGAATCTGGCTTTCACACAGCCAACAACGGCCAAGGTCGAATGTGCAAATAGGTAGCAGAAGCCAGATATGCACAAACTAAAGAGATGTATATTTTGAACCAGCCAGATGAGAAAAAGGTTAAGAACGTACATACGCTGGTCAAGCCAATAACGCCCAGAAAGTTCATCAAACACTTTCCAATAGACAGATCCTTTTCTATTCCTTCATGAGGGAAATGGCCTTGTGAATAGAAATCAAAAAGCAACCGGTCTTTGAGAGAGAATGTATCGATCAGCCATGAACCAGTCTTGTCTTCAGATGCCGGGATGTCATTGATAGGGATACGACGAACATGAATATGAACTTCAGAAGGGTCCACTCCAAAGACGTTGTCCAAGAACGATGGGCAACGATGCTTGTACCCGATGGTTATGTCATACACTGGTAAATAAAAGACAAACTAGTGGATTAAAACGCGTTGGAAATATTCTTTCAAAAAAATAACACCACCAATCATAAGTATGCGAAAACCCAAAATTATGGATTTCATATGGAGTATAGATTGCAAGAATATACATACTAACAAAAAATTCAAATATAAAGTATAGATTGCAATATCAATTTTCTACCGGCATATAAAAAGCAAAAATAAGAAGAAAACATTTACAAATGACTAATTTTTTTTTATCCATATTGAAAAAGATAGCAGTCATAAAAACGATTTATTTACTAAAGTGAGATATCTTGAATTGTGCTTAACGCTCTTTCATGTCATTAAAAGCATTATGATGGAATCAACTTTAAAATCTTACATAATTTCTTCCTCAATGAACATGATCAAATCACTAGCTAATACCTTGTTTTATTATCGGAAAATAGGACTTGTTATCAGTGATTGTTATAAAAAAAAATTATTAATTTTATTATATTGTCTAATTTTATTTTTATTTTTTTTTAATTTGATACTTTGATCCAGTGTTTTATAGATATAGAGGAGCAACCACTTAAATTTTATAAAAAATTAAGAAAGGATGACCACTTAAAATTTGTTAAAAAAAAAAAAAGAATAACTTAGCAGGTGAACCTCTATAATTTGGAGATAATTATAATTAATACTACTATAATAGCGGAGGTTTTGAAATTGTAGGGAGGATCGCCCCCTCTTACCCCCCTCCTCTAGGTTCATCCTTGTATGGAGGTGTTGGAAAGCAATATTAATGCTTGTGAGCTCAGCTCAGCTCGACTCAATTTGATTCGTTACATATATAAACGAGCTTGGCCTAGATTTTTGGTTCATTTAATAAACAAGTCAAGCTCGAATTAGAATAAGCTCAACTAGTATGGCTCTGTGAGTTCATTATTTTTTGAAGTAGTAGGATAAATATATTATTACATATTAAATAATGCAAACCGTGTTATATATACATATTGTAATATAGAATGATATTTAACGAGTCGACCAAGCTTGATTATGGAGCTGAACTTTTTTCCTTCATTATTGAGTTTCAAGCCAAGCAGACTTCGAACTTGATTTTTGAGCTCCATAAACAATGAGCCAAGCTCAAGTACTACAAAGCTCAGCTCAACTCAACTCGTTTGCAGCCGTACATGCCACCATCATCTTCAAACAGAATGGGAAATAAACAAAGACTGTAAATAATATATATCAGAAACAGTAAGAAAAGGAGCATAAAACAACCTGCATCCAAAGAATCCTTCAATTCCTCCAAGCATGTAAAAAAACCCTTTGTTTTTGGAAGCAGGACGTTCTTAAGGATTGGTAATCCATTTTCAGCAGCATGTTTTTGACTTCGAATGCACTTTTGTTCGCTGCATTAAAATGAAAAGAAACTTACGAATATGAAAAGAGAAAGAAAGCATTGATTCCACCATAAAATTTTAATTGCTATATAGAAATACATGTTATGCTTTGTCAGCATAAAGGATATATAGTGCCATATTATATGCCCTTAAAATCCAAAACTTAAAGCCATTGATGTGGCTTTTAACATCACTAAATTCCAAAAGTAATCAGTAATCACTAAATTTTGGAATATACTAATAAATCAACTTGATCATATCAAAAACAGAGATGCGAAGATACTCATAAAACCAAAAAGGATGTAAGAAATTACGTGAAATCTGTTCCTTCGGGGAAAACAGCAAGCCAAAGAGGATCTCGATTATCCTTAAAAGTTGAAAGCATTTGGTGCATTTTCAATCCATCAACCTCCCACCGCCTTTCTACTGGAATGAACTCCATAATATGAAATGCCCAACCAAATACGGGTAATTTCATCAAACTGCTCTTAAGAATATACTTTATGTACCCAAGCCGTCCCTTACGTAATGCAAGGTCCCACAAGTACATCCAATCAACCTCGGTTCTATGGTTTGCAATAAGCAAAACGCGTTCCCTTGCAGGAACACTTTCTCCCGAGAAAACCACCTCAGTTTTATTGATCTTTTCAAAGAGAAAAGGCCACAAAGCTAACCAGGCACCGAAGAACAATGATGTTATTTTCCTGCTGTAGTGTATGCTGAAAAATCGGAAGATGACGGCAGTCACAAAACCAATGTACACTAACATCATAAACGCTGTTAGAAGTAACACAAGTAAACAAATTACACCCCTTAATGCTCGTATTGGAGTTAGAGCACGATTCTTGGGTTGATCACTTGAATTGAGAGAACTGTGAATTTCCATCTGCGAATTTGCATCTGCTTCCATTTGCTTTCAGGTCTTCAACACTGTGATATCTAATAAAAATATTAGATATCACCAAAAATTCAATGAAGATGTTCCAATCGGCAATCAGGTCCGGCAGAGCAGTTAGTTCTGAATTGTATACAAGGCGATGAAGAAACTCTTCATATCTCTGGGAAAAAACATTAAAAATAAAAATAAAAAAAGGAATGTCATTACGAGACTTAATAATATCATATCAGCCATGCTAATGACAGTCCTGTCATTAAGATAGATACAATGCCAAAACAGTTGGAATCCCAGTACAACTTTCACATACTCATATACATTTACACATAAAATTGAGGCTAATGATCACCATTTGGCACTCATTAGCATTTTAGATATCATATTGATAATCTTATACGAAGAAGCTAGCATGGTAAGCCCACTACTTTGTGGTTATAATAAACCTAGTGAAGCCTGTGCACAAACTATAGGTGGGACTCTCCAGATGATTAACACAGAACAGCTATAAAAGAAATAGCAATAACAAAATCAGTGCTTTAACAACAAAAGCACTTTCACTCACTAGTAACAACAAAATCAGAGCATTTTCGATCCGAATACAAAACCAATTGCAGTCTTGCAGAAACCCACTCTGCACTTAAATCATTAAAATTAATCACAAACTGCACAGATGCAACCTCTCATTAATGTGCATTAATAACATGTGTAAAATTCGTAGTTTTGATATATAAGTTTACATTGTGAGAATACACAACTCCTACATCTCTTGTGTTGGGAATGAGGGGTTAAAAATAATATCCTATTAAATCACAAAAATTAATTAAAATAAGATAGATTAATTTTTTAACAACAAAGAGATAAAACAAAACACAGTTGCAAGAACTAATGGATAGAGACAGACGTGTATTCACTATTCTTGAGGGCATATCACACCCCTCTGAGTACGTGCCCCAATGCAATATGTTATGATGGCTTACTCTCCAGGATTCGACTGTTGCTTCTCTGCAAGCATGCACTCACAAATGCAGAGACTTCAGGAACAATTCGTTGATCGTCCCAAATATCAAATAAAATAATATATACATGAAAAAAAATATTTCATGACCTTTGGAATAGATGATGAGAAGATAGTATATGAAGTTAGTCGGATGAAAGAGAGCATGAGAAATCAATAAGACTGTCCAAATATTAGAATGGTATCTGTAGGAGGTTAGATGACAAAAGCAATATAGATAGCAAAAGCGACTAGCTGTAACATTTCCAACCAAGAACCACAATCAATTAAGACATAAGTTACAAACCATTTTTGAGACTTAAAACGTTTGAATGACATAATTATAATTAAGCACTTCAATGCTCACCAAATATATGGCTTGTTAAAACAAATGGCGAGAGAAAATCATAAAATCATATGTTACAAAGAGCACTAGTTAAGAAATAAATTTGTATTTTTTAAATCATACCAACATGCTAAACACCACAAACATTTGGGAACTTGAACATTTCAGAAATTGATACACCCTTTTATCATATTTTATCCATAGATTAGAAAATTTTCATACATAATATAAATATAAGTTTAAATTACACTGCCTATACTTTTGTTTTTGTGTCATTTTAGTTCGTACACTTTCAATTAACTCAATTCTAGTCGTTAATTTTAGATTTTGTATTAATTTGATCCAATTGATAATACCGTTTGGGTTTTTTTACAGAAATTGATCACTAAATTGATTAAGATTAACTTAGTAAATTGATAAAATATATAAATTTGCTCTAAAAGCATGACACATGTCACTCATAAGCAGATTTTCCATAAAAAAAAATAAATAAATAATAATAATAATAATAATAAAATAAAAAAAATTCAAACAATTGTAATCAATAGGATCAAATTGAGACAAATTAAAAGATATAAGATCAAAATCGAGTTGATTAAAATTATAAAAACAAAAATGACAAAAGTATAGAGATAACTGATATAATTTACTCATACAAAGAAAGAGAGAATGATAACTCGTTGCCAACAATATGGGGTTTTGCTTCTGATGGCAACATACTATTGGGTGGTGGTTCCGTTTATGGGATCAAATTAATATGTTTTTGTTCTAAGGTATATAAAAGGTTCAGCATTCAATTCATATTTGGTTGACCAATCCTTCTAATTCACGTCTTTGTTGAAAGAATTTCTATTGTAATTACAGAATCCATAAAAATTATTCAATAGAGACCTTAAAAACATAATCAATGTGGTTTTAATAACATTAGTTACAAACCATTTTTTAGACTAAAACGGTTGAACGATATAAATCATAAAACTTAGGCATTTCAATATACAGCTTGCTCAAACGGATAATGAGAGAAAATCATAAAAATCATACGTTAAAAAAGAAAAACAAATTTGTATTTTCAAATGAATTGAACATTTCGTAAACACAACAAAACAAAACCAAATCATCTTTTGATATTATAATCAATCGACAAATGTGCGTGCCAGTATAAAAAAATAATATATTTGACATCTGATTGATTTGCAGAGATGGGTGACCTAATGGATGCAATGTACGGATTATATCAATGAACAGTGGTGTAGAGCATTGAATCGCTAGAGAGAAGCAGTGAAATTAAGCATAATGGAGGATCAGAGGAACAGCACAAACCATAGCTGATCGATTGATCTGCAAATCAGAGAGAGAGAGGTACTGAACAAGCAAGGAATATGCAGAACTTTTACTAGAATGATGAAGCAAGGAATATGAAAATAAACCTTTTTGCTTGAATGGAGAGGCGATGATCAAGCCATTGCAACGGTCGAAAATGTGGCGCTGATGAGTAATGGAAAGTGTATAATAGTGATGATTATGATGATGAAGGAGCGTGCTTGAATTTCCAGTGTCAGATTGCAGAGCATTCGGTGGGCTGTTTTTGTTATTTTAAATGTGAAAATGGTTGAAATTACGAAAATTTCCCCCTGCTCTGCTGCGAGTGAGTCAGTGGTACTGCTACCAACCGACATCCGAGCGGAGCCAGTCCGGTTACCTTTTCATACAGTTCCTTCGTTTTGGGCTTAAAACAACTGGTTCAGCTTTTTGGGCAAAAACATATAGGAAAATGCTCCATAGCTCGAGAAAGTGAGGCGCGAATGGTGTGAAAAATATTATCTTACCGGTAAGAGAATAAAAAAACATCCTAAAACGACATCGTTTTAGGATTTCGAGCCACAAAAAATTCGAGCTACGAATCGGATGTAAATCAAAAGTATAAAACATGCAGCGGAATAAAATGTTTAGATCATACCTTTTGATGATAGAACCTCGTGGATAAATCACGTGCTTGTTGAATCTAGTCAATCAACCCAGCAGTGAAGTGATATTACAATATTAAATATCACCCACACAAACCACAGTGCAAATGGCTTTGATCGTTATTTGGGAGAGAGTCAGTATCTTGGAAAGAAAAAAAAAACATACGTTGTTTTTTCCACTTAATCACCCATATCCCATATATCAGATATATATTCTATTTATCTCATTTATCCATTTGTTAAATGAGATAATATCTGATATCTATATCATCTATCCATATCATGATATGATAGATATAGATCCTGAGTAGCTATCCAAATAGGTTTGAATTCAAATTCAAAACCCATTTGGATGAGGTTCAAAAGGTTCTAAGGGTCATGCCACATGGGCACCCAA